ATTTCTAAAACTTTAGTTCTTTCTTCTCCTGCAATGTAAAGAACTCTTAGAAATGTCTTTCACCCAGGTTGTTAATGACCTGGAGGAGGAGACTGGTGAGCTGAAGAGGAGCATCCAGACACTCCAGCAGAGTGTGAGAGAATCAAGAGAGCTGCTCTTTGCTGATGTTCTCCTCCCCAGACCCAAGTAAGTCTAGTCAGTGGGCATGGGCATGCACGGCCCTTCCCCCTGGCCCTGGGCTGCCAGGGAGGCTGCACTTTGGCACTGGGTGCTAATTACCTCATCCCACTGTTTCCATAGACATCCCAGTTAAACCTACACCCAGCACAGGGTACAAATCACATTAGGAAAGACGACTGCAGGGTCTCATGATCTTGCCTAAGAGCAGCAGGAACTGCCACAACTCCAATGCTGATCCTTGATCACTTCACAGCTTTCCTTTGGGCTTCTCTTTGTGAAGCCTGCAGGAGGAGGCTGCTGGTGGTGGCAGGGGGGACAGGCAGGACCAGCAGGGCTCCTCAAGGTCCTCGTGCCTGTGATAGCTCTGATTTTATTATTTTCACTTCATAGCTGGTACAGCTGCTCCTGGGCCCGTGGCAGCAGAGCCTGCCCAGGGCAGCACAAATCACAAAACCCAAATGATTTGAAGCTGCCCACGGCCTCGTGTACAAAAAAAAAATAAAAATGAGTCAAATGTTTTTTAATCCTGACCTGAGAATTTGCTGCATGGAGGTGAGTGACCCAACATTCACCCTGCCTTTATGGTCCCTGCTTTATTACATTATTTAGGTAGCTGCTTCCCTAATTGGCTGTGACACCGCTGTGGCAGTGCTGTTTGTAATAAATTCATGAGGAAATTAAACCACATGCAGCAGTGCTGAGCAGGGACTGCTGTCCTTCTTCCCAAAATAGGAGGAACTCCTGGTGCGTGGCCCCTGCTTAACGCTTTTTCTGCATTAGCAGCTTGAGAGCACTAAGAAAATATTAATTGCTGGCTCTCCTTGCAGCTGCTCTGATGCAGAAGAGCTGCTGGGCCCCTGTACAGGTGCATGTGTGAGCTTGGGTGACCTGTGGAACCCAAGCAATATTAATGAGCTTTCCCTGGGAAACTGAACTGGATCTCTCAGTCTTGTTCCTCGCTCAGCACAACGTGATCTCAGTGACAATCTCTTTCTAGAGCCAGAATCCCAAACTTGTTCGAGTAGAAATAACTTCCTTGAGGAGTGACACACTCGTGCACAGCCAGCAGTGGCCCCAGTGGTGCCAGGGCTCCATGCTGGTGGTTACTGGGAGTTTCTGCAGCTGCATTTCTTCTCTTCACCCACCCAGGAGACGCTGCAGCACCAGGATGGTCTGAAGCAGCTGGTGATAAACAATCATATTCTGCGATATAAAATACTGAGGCAAAAGGAGGTGAGTGAGCTGGGGAAGGGCCCGGACACTGCAGCAGAACCAGCCCCTCTCAGCCCTTGCCCTTTGGGAGGATTTTGTCTGCCTCGGTGGGGTATGTTCCCTTCCCTGTGGGCTGTTAGGACACCCTGAGGAGGAGCAGCCCAGCAGGTTTTTCAGGAAGCCTGTTAAGAGTCTTACTGGCACAAGGGATGTTTTCTAGCTCTGCTGTTTGCAAAATTTCTAAAACTTTAGTTCTTTCTTATCCTGCAATGTAAAGATGCAAAATTTCTAAAACTTTAGTTCTTTCTTCTCCTGCAATGTAAAGAACTCTTAGAAATGTCTTTCACCCAGGTTGTTAATGACCTGGAGGAGGAGACTGGTGAGCTGAAGAGGAGCATCCAGACACTCCAGCAGAGTGTGAGAGAATCAAGAGAGCTGCTCTTTGCTGATGTTCTCCTCCCCAGACCCAAGTAAGTCTAGTCAGTGGGCATGGGCATGCACGGCCCTTCCCCCTGGCCCTGGGCTGCCAGGGAGGCTGCACTTTGGCACTGGGTGCTAATTACCTCATCCCACTGTTTCCATAGACATCCCAGTTAAACCTACACCCAGCACAGGGTACAAACTCACATTAGGAAAGACGACTGCAGGGTCTCATGATCTTGCCTAAGAGCAGCAGGAACTGCCACAACTCCAATGCTGATCCTTGATCACTTCGCAGCTTTCCTTTGGGCTTCTCTTTGTGAAGCCTGCAGGAGGAGGCTGCTGGTGGTGGCAGGGGGGACAGGCAGGACCAGCAGGGCTCCTCAAGGTCCTCGTGCCTGTGCTAGCTCTGATTTTATTATTTTCACTTCATAGCTGGTACAGCTGCTCCTGGGCCCGTGGCAGCAGAGCCTGCCCAGGGCAGCACAAATCACAAAACCCAAATGATTTGAAGCTGCCCACGGCCTCGTGTACAAAAAAAAAATAAAAATGAGTCAAATGTTTTTTAATCCTGAGAATGCTGCAGCCCAAAACCCCCAGTGCTGTGCAGAACAATGTGCATATGTGCATTTATTTACAGCAGCTGCCCGTGCAGCCTGTTCTTGGCACAGAGTTACCTGTGAACGGGGTCGTTCCTTCCCGCGGCAGGGGTGCTGACCTGCCCTGCCCCCCCGCTCCCCCCCCCCCCCCCCGGCACAGGGGG